ATGTGCAGAAGCTTAGACAAAGCCCAGAGTGCTCTTTGAGAAATGGCTTCTGGATTTAGCCACACCAAGAGGTGGGATCTTGGCTAATTTCCAGGATTTCTTTAGTTACATTAAAGGAGAGACAGCACCCTCAATTCATTTTTAATAACTAGCCTTACAGTTAAACTGAAATGTAAAGGAAATGAGAGCCAACTATTTGGGGGGAAATCTGTATTTTTCTTCAATAAAGAAAAATGCTTTTTAAGAAAGTGCAGTTCATGGGAAACCCATGGGGATTACAACTGAGATGAAAAAAAAAAAAAAGTGCAGTTCATTACCTAACTGACTAGTTAAATATTTGGATCTTAGTCCACTCATTGGTTAACCTCTGCAATTCATATAGTTAATTCATTAAAAATTATAAAATGCAAATATTTCCACCAATTATGATTTTTAAAATGATACACATTTGAGAAATTCAGGTGAAGGGGCATCTACATGTTAATGCTTAAATTTACTATTATTTGATCACATGTCACGTTCAAATGAAAATGAGACCTAAGCCATCTCATCTCATACCAGTCATGAGAACAACCCCTGAATTAGTTTCTCATGTGGAAACCATAAAGCTCAGCAATATTATTCAAATTATTTTATGGATGGTTTCAAAACACAAATCAGGTAGGAGCAGTGAAATGTCATAAATCCTACCTTTATAACCCTCCCTATAACTTTTAGGCATGTGGGGTTAGTAATAGGGCCCTTGCCACTAAAAATTCTTGACCAAAATAAAACATCTACAAAAGGGAAAATGCCTCCCTCCTCCAACTTTGTTTTCTCAAGAGTATATTGTAAAATATTTTTGGGACTCCAACCCTGGTGTTTGCAGGCAAAAGAGCAAAGCTATCTGCCGCCTGAAGGTAAAACCCAGTCTTTCATGCTCACTGAATGCCAAGGAGCCAGATAAAATTTAATAATGGGTACCCAGGCTTTATCCCTGTGAAATGCACTCTTCAGAAAGGAATGAAATCCTGTTTTGCCTTTCTTTAGCATCAATATAGCTATAGATCCTGACAACACAGAAGAATAATTACATTCTTAACATGGATGACTCAATGTTTCCACCTGTAGAAAATAAATTTAAATTGTGCTTATTAGAACAGCTTTCACACAGTAAAAGCTGTGGGGCTGCTACCTGGATTGAAAGCCTCACTTTCAACAGTTATCTAACAGTTATCTAACAGACACTTGCCTAACTGTTGTTGAGATTTTATTTTCCGTTAACAAGAACACTCAAGTAAATGGCTCTGTTTAGACTTCTAGCAAACCACGAGAGCAAGTTAAAAAAAAAACACTTCTAGGCCCTCCCTGGTGGCACAGCGGGTTAAAGCACAGCACTAAGAAGCTTAAACCACTTCCTCATGAGTTCGATCCCCGCCGCCCCGGAGGAGATCCACGTGGCGCAGCAGACCTCTCCTGACCTGCCCGCTGCTCCCCTCAGCAGTGTACTTCATTGATCTGCCTGTTCTGCTCCCCGCTCTGTGTCTAGTGAACCCTGTCACAACCCCTGTACCTCTAGCCTGTACCACAGCTCTATATGCATAAACAAACCTTTTTAAAAAAAAGCACTTCCACTATGAAAAAAAAAATTTTTAATCAGTAGGTAATAAAAGTGGTGTTCAGTTGATTTGCTAGTGGTTATATTAACTCATGTTTCTATTCACATTCTCAACTGAGTGTCCCCACACTTTTCAGAGATTATATTACAAACGATTAATGACAGCAAAACACACATATTGAATCGTTATGTTGTATACCTGAAATATATCATCATATGCCAATCATACTTCCACAAAAATAAAAAATATCAGTAACTTTTTTTATTGACCGCATGCTGAAATTATACTATTTGGGATGTAGTGGCTTAAATAAAATAATTAATTGCATTAAAAAATACTTAACCTGGGCCTTGACCAATCACAATAGTTGTTGGGCATAAACTGGCAGTTTCAAAGACCCAGATTACCCAGTGCAATCATCAAGGCAGGCTCTTCCTCCTCCTCCCTCACTCTAGGACCTCTTTTTCCCTGATCCTGGATGTGGGGTTTCAAGGTTCTGCTTTGACCCCACTTTCTAGTTGACCTTTGACCTCGCTCTGGAAAATTTATCCCCTCCCCTACTGCCATAATCTCCCAATGACACTCCATGTCTTCCTTGCTTATTGAAAAGTTCTATGTGGGTAACATACAGAAGTCTTGACAGGTTGCAAATCTCACTACTTATTTCCTTTGCATTTTCTTCCTTGCCCCACTCCCTGCCCACACCCCTTCCACCCATCATCCTAACCCCACCTCATCTGATAGGTCCATTTTTGTGGAAGCATCCCTTTTCCTGACTTCTGTAACAACCTCAACCCCCCTTCAACAGAGATCTCTAACCCACACTACTTTCCTTCATAGGAAAATCTACATACATAGATAAGATTTTCTCAATAGTGGAGACCCAGAATGTCTGTAAATGGGAATTATATTCACCTGGCTTCGCCTCTTTGTCCACAATATGGCCTTTCTCAGGACTCCGGGCTAGTCCAAAAGGCTTTTCTGAATCCCTGAAATTCGAACGCTGGCTCCCCAGTTCATCTCCTCTCTTACAGCACGTAAAGCCTGAATAGCAGGTGACCGGTGTGTGGGAAGCCCTTGCAGCTGAATGCAGGCACTTCTCACTTCAACACCTGATTTCAAACAATGTGAACATCTCCACCGTGAGTGATCTGCCCACAGCCACACTTTGTTTTAGGTCCCAAGCTCCCACAGTGACTGGTGTTAGCTTTTCAGGAGTAAACTGACACCCCACACAATCCACAGTTCATCTCTCAAGGAGAAAGTGTGAGAAATGCAAACTCAGGTGTATTTTCCCACTTAATGGAGCCGACCTACCAACACTGCCATCAGGACAAGAACCCCTAAATTTCCATTCCATACACATAACTTCATTGGAAGCATTCTCAAGATCTGCCATATAGACAGCACCCCACCCCCCACTTTTGCACTATTTACCTAAGTTTTTGTTCCTGCTTCTCTGATCAGTTCCTGAAAAACTGACACATTACTAGATCCACAGAAACTAGCAAACCAACAATTTATTGTAAATTTACAAAAGGGGATTGTTGTCCAGAATACATACTTTTACTATGCAAACCACATAAGTAAGTTCCTAGAAAATTACTTAGATGTCAGACGGTAAGGGATGAACTAAGCAACATATTCCGACGCATTATGACTCTGGACCCAGGAGACGCTTCATGACTATTCTCTGGCCAAATAAAACTAGCAAACATTCCATGCTAAGAAACCATCCTAAAGACTCCCAAAGTCTCTTATAATCAGAAAGGCACTGCAGTGTAGAATCTGCCCACCATTAGCATTTCTCAAATTCACTGTAACCACCAGGGAATTTTTTTGTGAAGTTGCATCCTGAAAACTTGGGAAACTCTGCACTGTGCATACACTGTCTGAGAAGTGCCTTTGAGTAAATATCCTCCAGCAAGTCAGCTGTCGGATAGAGAAAGGATTACTAACCGTGGAACTTGGTTCCAGTTTTGGTGCTTGTTTCCTCATCTGCCAGACAGAACTAAGAGTACTGTGAGAAACAACTGACATACTATCTGTGAATGCATTTTATAAAGTGCTATAAAAATACTATCTGCAAGGCTCTTCTTCTTAAATGTGTAATTCTTCACAATGCACTTACAAAAGAAACTTTTGTATTCCTGCATTGTCTAATCTGTGCTTGCCATCCTCAGCCCCCACAAAGCCCCAAGTGGGAGCAGACATGCTATACAATTGGAAAGGATTGCTCCCGTTGCAAAACCATGCAAGATCTAATAGTCCATCTTAATTTAAAATGTCACCTCGTTCTTCTTGGACGAGATAAATGCTATTCCTTTAAATATTATTTATTTTAATAACTGAATGGGGCTTTTTGCTCCCCCCAAAAAAAACCCCATTTACAAATCCTGTTGGGGTGGAAGTATGCTCTAAGATTTTCTTATTGATGACAGCAAGTTCCAAAGAAATCCCAATGCACCTGAAACCCTCTGGCCTGCAGGAAAGTGCAGCTCCACAGTGTGTTAAGTTTGTGTGCAGGTCTTCTGCAGAATTAGGGAAGCCCCAAGGACTGGAGTGCTCAGAGAAGAGAGGCGCCTCTTAGGTCCCGGTGGGACAGGCTTGCCCAATATTTCTTGGCAATATATCATAGGTTTTAAAGCCGAATTCTGCAAACCCTGCAATCACCGATCGTCGAGGGCTGCCCGGGGCCAGTGGGTGGACGCTGTTCTGGAGAGCGCACGCCGCGGGTGGAATGGGGAGGCCTCAACGTGGGAAAGTGGCCCCATCCCTTCCAGTCGGAACCCGGGGCTCCTCCTTCTGAGCCCCAGTCAATCATCGCGACTGCCCCACAGCCCCCAGCCAGGACTCCCTGACTCTCTAATCTCTGTTCCTTCACCGAGAAAGATGCTCCGCACCTGAGCTCCTGCCCCGCGAACAGGATGGGTGCACCGACCCGGCCTGAGCTGCTCACCGTCTGTGCGACCTCGGGTCTGACCCACACGCACCGCCACACAGTAGGCGTCCCCGCAGGTAGAACCTGACAAGGGTTCCTACCTCCAGGGCTCGCGCGCAAAACGCACAACAGCACCTGAAGCCAACGCTCCTGCAGGCTCCCACTGCCCCTCACCCCACCCCCAAAGGTCAGCTAAGGATATCCCACGACCCCGCCTGGGCCATCGGCCGTCTGGTAACGCCGAGCGCACCCGGAGACCCTACACCCGGTGTTCCTCCCCCTCCGTCCCCAAGACTCCAGAGGACGCTGTCTCCCCTAGGTCTCCTCCGTAGGGGAGGTGAATGCGCGGACCAGCACTCAGCGCCTGAACCCCGAAAAGCCTCTATCCTCGGCCAAGAGTCTCCCCAGCCCTCGGGGTGCGAGCACAGAGGGTGGGGGTCCTCGTTCCTGCCGCCCCTTACCTCACGCAGGCCCTCCCCGCAGGTCCTGGAAGCGGGGGTGACTGGTGGCCCCGCACTCTAGCGCGGGGCTGGGTTTCCCCGCCCCGTAGGAGCCGGAGCTGGAGGAGGGGGAGGAGGTGAAGGAAGAAGAGACGGGGAGGGAAGGAGAAGGGGGGAGGGGAGGAGAGGGAAGGGCTTTGTGTCTGCCTCCCGCCCTCCCTTCGCTCCAGCGCTAGCCATCTCCCCCCTCCCACCCGCTGCCACCCTCCCAGCTCTAGTAAGGGACAGGGCGGGGGTAATTCCAGAGGTGGAGAGCGCCTGCGCGATTTGGGGTCCGGCGACCCACCCCCCCCTCCCCGAGACGCGCAGCGACGGCGATTGCAGGGGGACCGGGAACCCGAGCTGCTTAGGAGGACTAGTCGGAACCAAAAAGTTTATCCCTAAGCAGATTTGGCTGCACGGGCTCCCGATCGGCCCTAGCTCCGCCACTCCGCTCCTCTGCACTTCCTGGGGAGGACAGGAGATTTGTTTTGGGATATTCTGTTTCTCGTCTTTCCACTCAACTACAGAGCAGCAGAAACGTGCGCGCACCCTTTTCCCGGCTCGGGCCCAGCCGCGCAACTGCAAACTCGGGGTTCTGTATAGGGGCTGGAAACCCCCTGTCTGGCAGGCCTCCCTGGGCTGCAGGCCTCTGTGCCGGAGTGAGACAAGGTCTAGAAGCCCAAGCGTAGGCAGCGATCTCGCCGCGGGGTGTTTTGCTTCAATCTCTCTGGGAAAGGGGCCGTCCTAGTTTGGTTCCTGCCAGTGCTGGGCCACCAGGCCCCGCCCGGGCCCATGGGAGTGAGAGCAGCTGGCAGGCAGGATGTGGTTTGGCGCCGCGCTTGGAGACCTTAGCCCTATGGAAGGCGTCGCGGAGAGGCCTGGAGGCTGGAGTTGCGACCTGGCTCCCGGCCGGCGGGGACCCTGAGGTCGAGTCTGGCCAAAGCCGGTTGATCTGCTGAATCCTTCCCCTACCGGTTGTGGTGAGACCACCTTTAGGGAGACACGGTTAACCGTGTTAAAGGTAGGTACATCAGTAGCCATCCAGCAGAGGGATCCTCACAGACGTGTTTCAGAAGGAAGAGAAAATTGAAATGAACAAAGGCCACATTTTCTTGTTCTGCTTTGGATTGGTAGCCCAAGAGAAGACTTGAATTTCACTGCGCTTGGTTCTTGTGAAAACTGCTTTATAAAATCTCAAGATTGATGTATCATTCATCATCAGATCAGCCTGCAGGAGAACATATTGCACTTTTCTTTCTGTTCCAAGTCACCCATTCAATAAATAATTGAGCACTTGCTCTGTGCCAGGCACTGCTCAAATACTTGAGGATTAACTGGGAATTAAAACATAAATCTCCCTGACCTGATGAAGCTGGTATTTGTGGGCTCAAGTGTGTGAGAGCAGGTAAACAGTGACTACCAATAAGGAGGCCCAGGAATGCTGGTTCCTGGTGCAGCTTGCAGAGTTAAGAGGTGGTGTGATCAAAGCAGAAATTGGGATTTGAGCAAAGACCTGGAGGAGGTAAGAAGGGAATTCCTAGGGCAAGCATTAGGGGTAAGGGCTGGTGGGGAGGTGGGGGATAGCTTTCCCAAGTTTGAGTGGCGGATGATATGCCCCACCTATATTGCTGAGAGATCCCTTATGAAGAAGCAAATCTAGGGGAGAGGGAGTTAGGAGGCTGTAGATATAATCCAGGCTGGAGATGAAGGTGGGCACAGCAACACCATAGTCATGAGCATAGGAAGAAGTACTGGTGCCTTTCCCAAAAACCCAAATTACATCACTTTGCTTTTACAAAAGACTTACATCGAGCACCTGTTTTTGATAACTAAAGGTAGCGAAGGAGGATTTGCACCTTTACAACAAAAGACAAAAAGTTGATAATGACATTTAGCTACTTTTTTTGCCCCAAGCAATGAGAGAGGCATTGAGTACAGTTGAGAAGAGAGAGAACACCCTTCTTCCCCCCACAACTAAGCACCTTAGTCCAGAAGTATGTTATGCAGGGGGGTGTGTTTATCGTTATCACTCCTGCTTCTACTATGTGCTGCTGTGATTTAGGATTTTGGCGTTATTTGGCAAGAATTGGTAGGTGATTTTGGGAGTCGGAGAACATTCCAAAATTTTCCCACATAAATTAACTGTAATTGTGTTTTCTGCTTATGAAAGTATTCAGAGGCTCACTCACAGTTAGTGGGGAGAAAATTGAAATTGTATTCTTACTTATTTTGGGCATACAGGAATTTCTAAGAGGTTGGATAGATAGATGGACAAAAAGAAAGATGGCCAGAAGCAGACCTGGCCCCATTCCCCTCTACATTTTGCTCCTTTTTCAACCCAGGATGATTTCACTTCATGAGCAAAGCTTCCCAGGAAAATGCTAAAGATGTATCTCCTCAGGTCATTTCTTCCCCTTTCTCTCTTTCCACTCTCCCTCTTGAGAACTTCCTTCCTCTTGGGACCTAACCCCATAAATGGCACAGTTGACTCAATCTGGTCCAGAATTCAGGGCCTTTTGACCCAGGCCTCACTCAGAAAACATCATTTACTATAGAGATGGATGTGGGGATTATTCATTCAAAGCTATTTATTGAGTAGCTGCTATATGCCAAGGGGCCACAGCAGTGAACAAAACAGACAAAACATTGTGTTGTCATGGAACACTTTCTAGTGGGGAGACAGAGGCAATAAGCCAGACAAACAAGAAAAATATGTGGTATGTGGAAAACCAGTATCGTGATTGATACTGGCCACAGAGAAAAGAGAGCTTGCTGGGAAGGCCAAAAATTAAAGCAGATGATCAGAGAAAATTCTCAGAAGAAACAAATATCAAACCCTGGACACTCTTGTAGTCTTATCTTCCATTGGCAGATTTGACATCCGCGCAAGGGTCTCTGGAGACTGAAGCAGCTACTCCAGTTAGCCACAGGGATCACAAGTGCTCTAGGGGCACTTTTGTCAGCTTTAGACCAGCTAGCCAAGAACATGTCATTTCAAATGAAGTTATTTCCCTTCTAAAGTAAACCAAGCATCACTGGTTCTGAAAGCATTGACTAAAACTGGCAACTCAGAAGTTTGTTTCTCTGCTCTACTGAGGCCAGTAAAGGTGTCAGCATCTTGTGCATATAGAATAACTTGAAAAGAGCAGTTGTGAACTCGAGGGTCTGATTTGTAGAATTATGATCCTTTGCTACAATTATGTTGGCCGACGCTGTACTGTGTGACATTACCTTGCTCAATCCTCCTAGCCAACCTGGGAAATAGGTAAAGAATATCAGTGGAGAGTCTGAGAGCTGTGCCTACCACCACCGACATCGAGACCTTGTGTTACAGGGCAAACTGAGGGGCACCACAGGACACCCAAACCTGCCTGGTCTAAAATGGGTCTACTATGTACTGCATCAAAGACACATATACTCTTAGTGTGCAAGACCTTCAATGGAAAAGAACTTTAATACAACTAGTATGCGAAAGAGAGATGAAAATAAAAGGAATATAGTTAAAATAGTCATCCATCCCCTCATGGGGAAATGCCCAGCCAAATAGGGTTGGCCCAAAACAGGACCACTGGGGCCCAACGGTTTGCCACAGTCTAAGGCATCGATGGTGAGGAACTATAGAAAAGGGGCAGAAGGGGCCAAGCAAGTCTGGAAGGAAAAGAGCAAACTCAAAACCCAAGTCAAGATAAAGACCATTATCAGCCTCTTAAGGATCTCTCACCCACATCTGTTTCAAATGTCTCCTTCCATGTCCCCCAAGTTCCTGGTACAAGTCCGAGGCTGAGGAAACAAGTCTCTCTACTTCATGTGCTGGCTCCAGGTCTTCCAATCTTTTGATTCTTCCTTCTCTTCAGCTCTCCTCCTTGCTCAGCCCCACCCTGTCTTGGGCAGGGAACCTGGCACCACCCCTCCTTTCTCTGGCTATCACAGTTCCACTTACAGGAGTCCTGGTCTTAGTGTTGGAGTGTCCCAACCTGAGGCTGACAAAGACGCTATGAGGTACACTCTCCGGTGGTGGTGTCTTACTTCCACATCACCGGAAGAGCCATTTATGGAACTCCCAGTGTTGGCTTTGGGTCTTGATAACCATGGGCATCAGAGACCAGTAGCTTTCCTGGCCTACAGGAAATACCAATACAATGGAAGGGCTTGCTCAGCTTCCTGTTTACAATGGGAGGTTTAGGTTTCATAATCCTGGACCAAATATTCCACAGCTTGATAGATTCCTTCTTCTGTTCATCAGATTCATCTGTGTCCTGTTGAGTGTTTTCATGGCGAGAGTATTCATGAGTCTGAAACTACCTGGTACCGCATGGTTAGAGAGCCTTTATAAAAGAAATCAATGGATACTGGATTTGCTCTTACTAATGAAATTTTAAAGGTTGTACCAATTCTCTGATGAAATGTGGAAAAGGATGCAAAGCAACAGGAAAGAAGCTTCTGGTGAAACCTGAGGAAGAGCATTAAAGCTTGGGCTAATGGTCTCCTGGTGTCAAAGAAAACCTCATCACAGTACTTTTCCTGATGACTTAGTCTGACATAGTGATGGTGTCCAGTGACATTTTCTCCTTAGTTTCCCCCCCCCTTTTTTTTTTTAAGATTTATTTATGTATGCAAGAACTGGGGTCAGAGGTGCACGGGGTTGAGAGGATTCACCAGAGACAGAGTGGGGAGCAGAACAGGCAGATGTTCAGAAATACACTGCTGAGGGGAGCAGTGGGTGAGACAGGAGAGGTCTGCCACACCATGTGGGTTGCCTCCCTGGCTGGGGAATCAAATGCATGCTGCAGTAGCTGCAGATAGCTTCTTAGTGCTGCACTTTAACCTGTCATGCCACGAGGGAGGGCCCAGTTCCCCCTTCTTAACCAAAAAATACCCCATATTTACACCTATAAGTGGTTACTTTTTCTAACCCTCCCTTAACACTTTTTGGAGATGATGTTTCTGATTTGCTGAAATTAATGTCAAATCAGAAGTGAGATTTCCTTGGCTGAAGGTATG